TTTTTTTTTTTTTTTTTTTCGTTTCAGGTGTTCTTTTTTCCTCAATAAATAAAGAGTTGGGTTGACATAAATCAGGGGCTTTTGAAGTACCTCTGTCTACTTAGGTACATCGGTACGCTGATTTGCCTGTGTTCTAAACACCGCATTTTAGGACCAAAGTGAATTCGTGGAGCAGGTCATGGAAGGGTTGGATCGCGTTCCAGAGGCCGAAAGATCAGAAATGATATCTTACTTGAAAAAAGAAGTTAATCGAAGGCTTGTGGCGAAAATACTTGAAATAACAAGTGGCTTAAGCCGTGATGAACAAAATGAATTAATTCACAAGACGGTCTTTGATAGGTCGTATAAGAAGCAGTAGTTGTTAATTAGTTACGAGGTAGTTGTAGTATTTTTTTCCGGATGTAACAGTTTGTGAATCAATTTTGCTGTGCTAATTTTCGAAGTGTACACGTTTCTGTAGAACCTTTTTTGTTCTTACTTGTTATGCTTAACATTCTCCCTAGTACATGATCTGTTTATCTTCTCTTCATGTTTGTGAAGGAAATACCTTTTTTATTGCTATTAATGGTTCTGTATTTTAATTTTTTATCGTACCTTCGCAGTCATGAAGGATCCTTTCATTCGCTGGAACAGAGATGTTTTTAATTGAGCTGTTTGTTAACTGTGGGGAAGACAGTTCATTTTTTCTCAAATAATTGTCATGTTGTTTTCTTTGTATCTAGCGACTATGTTACAATTAGCGATCTTTTCAGAGGATAATTGCGATTTCATTGTGCTTTTTCGATCTTTATTGGCTTACAGGAAATTATTGTCGTTAAATCTTGTTTATATTTGGAACTTTGTATATTTGGTTTCATTTTATTCATTGTGAAAGGATCTTCGCTATAAATGTTGAGTGTGGACTATTTTGACAATTTATTAGGCGGCTTTTTAACGCATTGTAATATTTTTATGCTAGAAATAAATGTTACTGGTCTTACTAATTCAGAGATGTTAGTGATTTAATGAGGGAGATGGGCGTTTGATTAATGACAGTAGTC